TGTCGAATGACACAAGCGACATGATTATTATTAATGCACCGTTGCGTCGAACAGCATACATGCTCGCGGAGGCAACGGGCACACTTTGTTAGACTATATGAAGGACTTAATTCTTGTCGCAACGATGCTCGAGAAGCTTCGGATTAAGGACGCAATCCGTCATATCCTTTCAGTTGTCGGAGTCGTTCGTTGGCAAGGTCGATCGACAAATCACAACTTCAGTGGTGGCCTACAACAGGTAGCCAAAACAGCAAAGGGAGTACTACTAGAAGGACTCTTCGCAACGCCGCATGCACATCGCCACCAAATTTGCTAACAGCCAAATGCCTGCGGTATGCAGATCAGTAGGTAATACGGCGCCAAACTACGACCTGCGGAACAGAACAGGGCATCACTGCACTGTAAAAACCACCTACTTTAAAGAAATAATAAGCTGTAAAAATGAAAAATATATTATTGAATAGCATCGTCAATCAACCTCCTTGTTGGCCCGCTGCCAATTTGCCTTTTCATTATTGTATATATTATTCGTACGGATGTCCTGTTTGTACGCATCTAATCCGGGTGGTCGGTATGTAGAAGAAAACGTCTGTTGGTTCATGCAGTCGACTTACACTAGCAAATCTCCCTGTTCATATTCGAATGTGCAGAAGATCGTGCTACCAATATTTACCGCACCATCCAGGACACTACGCTGAAATACAGGACCATCTTGTATGCTATGTGGTTTAAGTGCACAACACCTTGCACGATATCAAAGTTATATACAATATAGTATAGTTCAGTATAGAAGAGTGACTGCACTATTTTTGCATACGGTATATAAAAGTATACCATAACAGCCATAGTTGTGCATTTTTTAACCTGAGCATCACGCTCATAAAGTGTACCATTTACTAATGTGTACTAACATTTACATATTACATATGGGATGCATTTATCCATAGGATAACTAGTATCACACGGCAGGCTATGATGTAAATTACTATACGTATTACAGTGGTGCATTACAATAACAGTAACAGTTACATTATATTTACGGTGCGGAAAAAAATATACAGCATGGTTACTTCTATATGTGGTGTACTACTGGTTATCATGAAAAGTAC